GCGGGGGGACCCTTCCCCCAAAAAAAAAAAAAAAAAAAAAGTTTGATTGCTCTGAATTGGTTTAGGGTAGGCTGAATTTAACTATGAATGGGATGTCATTTTTTTTCTTTGGTATTAAAGACTAAATGGAATTTTTGTATTGTTTGTATGTGAAAGGGACTGAGGGCTGAATTATTCTCCAGAACAAAGGGAAGGTTATTTTATATGACTGGCATTTGTGTAGACAGAGGGACCCAGAGGTTGACAATATTACAGAGAGTCTGGACTATGTGACCAATAAAAACGGTCATCCACAAATGCCCAGGGACAAGGATGGTGGTGGACATTTAGAGGGGGAGCGACTTACCATTGTACTCTTATACCTTCTACTCTGGAATCGATGGAACACACATGTTTTTCCAAACGTCAATAAATTTCTGTTACCTGTGAAAATCTGGAGCTGTGTCAATTTAGGAAATGAAGATAAGGGCCTGGGTTCCCACTTTGTGACAATGCCAGGTGGGAAGGAGGGGACTACCACCAGAGTGAGTGATAATATCAAAACAGGACTTGAACGAAGAGAATCCCCAGAGGCAGAGTGAACTGCAGAAAGCTTTGAGCAGTGGCATGGCTCCAGCTAACCAATGTACTGCCTCTGTACTTCCAAGTCCGATGTAAAGGTCAGTGGAAAACCACAGTAACCAGAGAGAGGCAGGACTATTGGGGGCTCAGACCCTTTAGGAAGGAAGGTGTGTTTATCCCACCAGCTGACGATGTCTGACCAGCTCTGGTTCTGGCTGAGAGTGAAAAGACACGACATGGGAAGTGGAAGGAAGAAATTGTTACAAATTAAATAAAAATTATAAGGGGCCCTTGTCTTGAACTAAGCTTCTGTTCTAGGCCCCAGCAGGCCAGACTAAAGTGAGGTCACTCATGACAAATCCCACTCATTAAACTAAAGGTTTAAATTTTTTTCTTTGTCTTTAGATTTTAGATTCAGGGTGCTTTTGTTCGCCAGAGAGAAAGCAGGAAATCACCCCCTGGGGTGATGGCTATGACCCAGCCCCTTCTCCTCCATTCTCCTCTTAGGATTTTGAGCATGCACACACTCCCCTGCATGTTTCAGACTGCTGGACTCGGGACTCAAACCTTGGATGGCCACATGCGAGTCCAGCATCTTAACCACTCTGCCACCTGCTGGCTTCTAACTGAAACTTTAAGAAAGCTGATAGGTTCCCTTTCCTCCTCGTAAGTACAGGAAAGGACTTTATCCTATGTCTTTATTGGCCTGAAGGTCAGACAGGCAGAAGGAGAAAACAATGACCTTTGGCCCTGCCCCTGAGGTTTCATTAGGCTGATATCGCAGGAAGGAAGAATGTCTACGCACCTGGACAAAGTCCGTCCTAACCTATCTTCTCCCAAGCCCACCCAGCTTGCAAGGAGAATGATTTACTCTGAGCATCAAACCCATTCTGCCTTCCTAAAAGTAATTTCACAGTGTGCCAGACTTGCTCACTGCCACGCTGACCCCAGGTGACTAGGATTGTCCTGCTCCCCTTGTCACAGGGTTTAGCCAAGCTCTGCTGCACAGGGCTCCTCAGCACAGCGCTGATGGAATCCTCCTCCCCATTCATGGTTTTTGCCATCCTGAATCTGTCAGAGCTCAGTGCACAGGATTTAGGGCAACTTGGATATTGTGGTGTCTGGGTGGTTATCCTTACCTTGGTCCAAACAAAATCTTTCACTTTACTTACTTTGCCTCAGCCTTCATTATTATTTTTTAGGTTAATAAAGAGATAGACTTCAGTTGTGGCCTTGTGGCCAGTTACAGAAACAAGGACTGTATAGCTTTGCATATTTCATCTTTGCCTTCAAGTGAATGTGTTTATTTGTATGTATGAACCATTTTCTTCTCTTCTTACACCTGTGATTTTATGTATAAATTGTTAAAGGATAGTGTTACGATTACAGTCCTTCGGGCACAGCGTAGTCAATATGACTGAGACTGAATATGAAGGGTTAATAACACAGTTTTGGATAATGACTGAGACTGTGAAAGGCGGTCAGCTGGAAATGAGCAGCTGGCCCTAAGGAAATAGAAGAGGGCCACGTCAGTCACAACTTGTCAGGGGTCACACCCAGTCCTTCCATGAAACGGCTTCTTCCCACCTAGTTCTTGGCACCGGGAAGGCGAGGCAGGTCTCATTTTTCTTTAGTACCTGAGAAAGGCACATAGGGGCAGTTGTTCACTTCCCTCTCATCATTCCTCATAGATACAAAAGGACGACACAGGACGTTTTTGTCAGCACCCTGATCCCCACTGGGGCAGTAAACTGATGGGGCAGCTCATCCAGATAAGGATGCTCGGACCTTCTTAGTCCACACTGAGCAGGCGGGGTCAGGTCACTGACTTCCTCCCCTGTGAGAGACGCCAGCTCAGGGGAAAGCTGGGGATTCAGACAAAGAAGCCGGATACTGACAGACCTCCCCTAAATACTCATCTTCACCTCTTGGAATAAATGTGACCACTGACCCCAGCCCGGGGCAGTTGTCCCTCCCTGGCAGCTGCCCACCTGGTCCTTTCAGGCATGGACGTGGGCTTCTTTTCTACTAAAAATCCCCCACTTTCCTATTAAAACGTCCCTTTTCCTACTTTACAAGTGTTTGTGGTTTTTCGTTTTGCATCTCAGGACGGGTCTCTAATCTCAGATCTATGGACCTAAAGATCTTTGGATTTTGGGGCCGGCAGTTGGCGTGGTGGTTAAGGGCACTGGACTCCAGCATGGCCATCTGTGGCTTGAGTCCTGGACCTGCCAGCTTGCTTTCTTGCTTTCTCCCTCTCTCTCTCACACTCTGTCTCTCTCTGGTCAAATTGAAATAAATAAATTAATTAATTAATTAATATAAAATTAAATAAAAAATAATCATTTCAAAAAAAGGATTTTGAAAAATGCAGACCATCCTAGACAAGACTGTCTGTTTCCTGACTTTGGGAAAGGATGAGACCTCACTTTCAAGGGTAGCTTTGATAACTGAAAATATAATTGTATAATTGCATGTGTGTAAAACAGTGTGTGATATGTGTGTGATGTAGGAGGTGTGTAACCACATGTGGATGGTGCCCGTTACCATTTTATTGTCTCTGTGTTTCAAATCAACCCCATCCTGCCCTGCTCTGCGACACTACAGAGGGACCCTGTCAACACTTCCTCTCTGCCATCTGGCACATGGTAGACCTTGTATGTAAACTGCACTGATGGGGACACTGCTAGGTAGAGCAGAGGACATGCCTTTTTTCTTGATGTGACTGCCAGGGTCACGCAGAAGGTCCAGATTCATTCTCCTTTCCGTGAACTTGCCTGGTGTCACTGCAGGCCACTTCCCAGGGAGGGTAGCCAGTCCCCCAGTGTTTCCAGCCACCAGCGTAGGCTTAAGGCAGGTCAGGGAGCTTCGCTTTTGTGACATCATAAGAAACATGTATTTAGTTTTTGCCCCTGGTTCCTAACAATATTCTAATTTTTTTTTATAGCGGGACTTTCTTACTTTCTTTATTTTTATTATTTTATTTTTAAATTTTATTTTATTTATTCATTTTGCGTTTTTGTTTTTGTTTTTGTTTTTTACCAGAGAGAGAGAGAGAGGGAAAGTGAGAAAGCAAGCCACCATGTCCGGGACTCGAACCATGGTTGGCCATGTGGGAATGTCCAGCACCTTAA